TGCTTTTACTTTTAAAAAATTTCTATTTTGAAAGAAGTTATGACGATGCGACGCTTGCGACGGATTTTTAAATAAAATCACGTTTCTTTTGCAAAAGTTATGAGCGGTATTGTACATATTCGAACTGAAATCAATGAAATGGCCACACATAAGCAGGTAAGCAGACGTTCAAAGAAGATGGATCACTGCGAAGTCCTCAGCGAAAACTGACTACATGGGATGTAGTTTGCTGCATGTATGGACCAGCAGACATTTTCTTAGGAAACAAAATGGATTTGGAGTACTTAACTACCGCTGTTCAATGGCATCTTTTTGATGCTGTTTGAGACATGTCAAGTAAGTATCTGGTTGTAAGTGTGAAATTGCAGAATGACACATGAAGTCGTGAGAAAGAATTCGAGAAACAGAAACTACCCATAGTTTTAGGAACGCATCCAATTAATCCAGGATAATTCCTTTTTATCGCAATATTCGAACAAGGAAACTTTTATAGATGAAAATGGTTTATGGTAATGTTGGATAAGATATTTTTCTTCCTGATGATTTTCTTATTACATGTACCGTTGTTTATATGGCAAATCAATAGTCTTTAACTCAATTTTTACTGAAAAACACAAACAAAAAATGAAATATGCTTGTTAGTTGAATAGTTTGGAGGTCAATTCCATTCACGAGTGAGATAGTTTACTAATCCTTGAATACGTGGACGCCAGGTTTCGTGGCCACAAAAGTAAGCGTGCTGCGACCTCCCGCAAGGTTCAGCAACGTTCTCCTACCGCTTTCAACGGTAGTGTCCAAAGGGACCTAAACTGTGTTATTTCAAGTTTGATAATGCAGACACATGAAATGCTGACCAATTCTTCCCGATCATGAATTGTACTTGCATTTGTGTAGTACACTTTAACTCCTTCAGTGAACCCACTAAATGAATCAAATCGTATAACATGTCATAATCGTAAGCTAAGTCCCTGTAACTATTAACTGTTCCTTTTAAATGAAGTTTTTGGGTATTTACTTACATTCGCTCTTTAATGATGTCAAACACATAATCGGCACAGTAGTCCGAAGGTAGTTCCCTCTCCAATTTTTGTCTCACTATCCTTGATTTGAGCTATAAATGAGCGTTAATTATAAAAGTACTACTGCAAGAATGTCAAACCATGACTATGATAATGCTGCAGTGACCCTTTGAGGGGGTTGTAGTTATATTTTTTAATCATATCATATTGTCCTTCATCTCAGAAACTCATCGTAAGTTAGTAGTGTTTTCGAAAAAACCTATTCCAGTTAACGCGTTTTTCATCAACATTTCAAGCCCACAACGACTCGAATGTAACTTTAAATTGAAAAATGAAAGGAGGAAAAGGTAGCACGTCACAATCATTCATTCGCGCCAGGATAGCAAACTGCACCTTTACAAGCAGTTGATGTTCCGAAGAGAAATTATGCAGTACAGCTAAAATTTTAATTAGGTAACTTACTCTTTCCAGTATGAGTATCTTTACATGAAGAAGTTCTGTAGGATTTATCTTACTTGGGACGTAGAACTGAAACCAAAAATAGTAGAAACTGTAAAAGTGCTTCTTTTGAGAAGCGTACATCAGTTGCATTCGATGCATTCGCAGAGAGTAGGTTTGGTGATGATTGCTTTACGCCAAGAAATGGTGTACCATGTTCTCGAGCTTCCTTGCTGAATTGTTAAAGAGGAAACTCCAAGGATAACTCTACTTTTTACCCTACACGACTATCAATCATGATTTATTCCTAAGCTAAAAAGTTAATTAGTAGATTTTTGACTGTCAAATTCTATCATCCAAAGAATGGTAGAAATTGAAATACATGTTGTGAATGAACGGATGGGTGTCGGTGACATAGCAAACACCCAGAATTTGAGCTTATTCGGTGTTTAGGTCCCCATTCACTTTCTACTTGACAGGATTGGGATGATGTGCAAGTTGGAAGAGCTGTGTGGTGTAGTAAAATAGCCGGGAAGTTCTTTCTCTTCTATGTGGCACGGATCGGCTACTTATTGGTATAATTAGACACACCGGTATTTTCCTAAAGGCACTCTATTTATCAAAGTTTGGCGAACACATGTGGGGACACAGCAGCCTGGCGAACCTAAACATTGAATCCCTTAATCCTGTTCCTGCAATGCATTGCGAATGTAATGATTTCAGAATCAGCCTAACCGTCCGCATTTGGAACACTAAGTTCGTTAAACTGGCACTTTTTGCAAATTTTATGACCACAATCTGGATACTCCATCATCTTTGTGTAATCCACTATACTATGGCATGGCCCATCACAGATCAGCATTCCATGCAGGGAAGCTCAAAAATAGAAAATGATTTGAGCGCATCAGTTTGAAAAGCTTGTAAACATACGACTTGTTGTAGCATGATGCGTTACGGAATTGTTGATGCGCGCCCATCGTTCCTGCGTGTCGAGCGAGTCATCAAGCCAGCGAACAGTGAGGGTGATTAGCTGACTGGAAAAGATATATTTTCTTTAATTGGAAATATGAATTGAAATAATAACATAAAAATGGATACATGGGATACTGTTTGTCGACAGCAACATAGATTAAGGGAGTAAAGGCACACATATTGATGATCTTTTCTCAATAGTTATTATTGATTACTACCGTAATAATGGTAAGAATAAGAACAATAAGAATGCTAACGGTAGAAATAATAGGTTTGTATGATACGATAGAGCAGCAGGGGCTAGGAGAGGCATCATTTCAATACTCTTTTAGGGTTGCGACCTAGCAAATTTTTGCGTTTCCCAACGTGATTTAAGATGTTGCCGCTTCGGAAATCACGGAAATCTTGCACACTAAGGTATGTTACTGGCTCCAAATCCAATCCATCCGCATTTTCATGGATAAACGAGCATGTAAGGTAAAAATTTACTCACAACACGCGAAGTAGCCGCTTTCCTGTAATTTCCGTCCACTTACATACAGCAAGACTCTATCAATTTTTAAAAAATCGATCTATATACACAGTTTATGACAGTATTTGCTGCTTGATGTGACCTAAGACAAGTGATGGAAGCAATAAAATCAC